AAGGGGTGTACTCACCCAGTTGTTCGCCAGCAGGAGGGATAAAGAGGTCGAAACAGGAAGGAAGACATACAATAAAGTGTTCTCCAGGAAGAGCAAAGTTGTACCTCTGACAATAGGCTGCTCAAGATGCTAAGTATAATGACTGTCCTAATGAGCCTCCATCAGGAAGGATACAAGACACCTTCTGGTGCCAAGGAAAACTTAAGAGAGAGAATCCACCAGGATTATGTATGTGTGTGTGTGTGTGTGTGTGTACTCACCTAGCTGTACTCACTTAGTTGTAGCTGCAACGGTCGAGTCACAGCTCCTGGCCCCGCCTCTTCACTGTGTGTGTGTGTGTACTCACCTAATTGTGGTTGCAGGGGTCGATTCATAGCTCCTGGCCCCGCCACTTCACTGGTCGTTATAAGAACATAAGATCATAAGAAATGAGAAACATTGCAACAGGCCTACTGGCCCATACTTGGCAGGTACATGTCAAAACCAACCCACCAATAAAAATATTTGCCCAACCCATCCCCAGCGCCACCCAAGCAACAAGCCCCGACAACCCACCTCCTCCTTCCCAACCGATGTGCAAGTCCCGCTCAAATCCAACCCCTCTCACGCATAAGAACACAGAAAGAACTAACACTGCAGCGGGCCAACCGGCCCACACTCTGCAGGTCCACCCAAAACCAAAAACACCTGTCCAACCCACCTGGTCCATCACCAGGGTACTGAAGGAGCCGAAGCACCTGGTCCATCACCAGGGTACAGAGTGAACCAAATCACCTGGTCCATCAGCAGAGCACTGAATGAGTAGAGGCAGCTGGTCCATCACCAGGCCGTTGAATGAGCCGAAGCACCTGGTCCATCACCAGGGTGCTGAATGAGCTGAAGCACCTGGTACATCAGGGTACTGAATGAGCTGAAGCACTTGGTCCATCACCAGGGCGCTGAATGAGCTGAAGCACCTGGTCCATCACCAGGGTACTAAATGAGCTGAAGCACCTGGTCCATCACCAGGGTACTGAAGAAGCTGAAGCACCTAGTCCATCACCAGGGTACTAAATGAGCTGAAGCACCTGGTCCATCACCAGGGTACTGAAGAAGCTGAAGCACCTAGTCCATCACTAGGCCGTTGAAGGAGCTGAAGCAATTGGTCCATTACCAGGCCGTTGAAGGAGCTCAAGCACCTGGCCCGTCACCAGGGTACTGAAGGAACTGAAGCACCTGGCCCGTCACCAGGGTACTGAAGGAACTGAAGCACCTGGTCCATCACCAGGGTACTGAAGGAACTGAAGCACCTGGCCCGTCACCAGGGTACTGAAGGAACTGAAGCACCTGGCCCGTCACCAGGGTACTGAAGGAACTGAGGCACCTGGTCCATCACCAGGGTACTGAAGGAACTGAAGCACCTGGTCCATCACCAGGGTACTGAAGGAACTGAAGCACCTGGTCCATCACCAGGGTACTGAAGGAACTGAAGCACCTGGTCCATCACCAGGGAACTGAAGGAACTGAAGCACCTGGTCCGTCACCAGGGTACTGAAGGAACTGAAGCACCTGGTCCATCACCAGGGTACTGAAGGAACTGAAGCACCTGGTCCATCACCAGGGTACTGAAGGAACTGAAGCACCTGGTCCATCACCAGGGTACTGAAGGAACTGAAGCACCTGGTCCATCACCAGGGTACTGAAGGAACTGAAGCACCTGGTCCATCACCAGGGTACTGAAGGAACTGAAGCACCTGGTCCATCACCAAGGTACTGAAGGAACTGAAGCACCTGGTCCATCACCAAGGTACTGAAGGAACTGAAGCACCTGGTCCATCACCAAGGTACTGAAGGAACTGAAGCACCTGGTCCATCACCAAGGTACTGAAGGAACTGAAGCACCTGGTCCATCACCAGGTACTGAAGGAGCTAAGCACCTGGTCCATCACCAGGGTACTGAAGGAACTGAAGCACCTGGTCCATCACCAGGGTACTGAAGGAACTGAAGCACCTGGTCCATCACCAGGGTACTGAAGGAACTGAAGCACCTGGTCCATCACCAGGGTACTGAAGGAACTGAAGCACCTGGTCCATCACCAAGGTACTGAAGGAACTGAAGCACCTGGTCCATCACCAAGGTACTGAAGGAACTGAAGCACCTGGTCCATCACCAAGGTACTGAAGGAACTGAAGCACCTGGTCCATCACCAAGGTACTGAAGGAACTGAAGCACCTGGTCCATCACCAGGGTACTGAAGGAGCTAAAGCACCTGGTCCATCACCAGGGTACTGAAGGAACTGAAGCACCTGGTCCATCACCAGGGTACTGAAGGAACTGAAGCACCTGGTCCATCACCAGGGTACTGAAGGAACTGAAGCACCTGGTCCATCACCAGGGTACTGAAGGAGCTAAAGCATCTGGCCCATCACCAGGGTACTGAAGGAACCGAAGCACCTGGTCCATCACCAGGGTACTGAAGGAACTGAAGCACCTGGTCCATCACCAGGGTACTGAAGGAGCTAAAGCATCTGGCCCATCACCAGGGTACTGAAGGAACCGAAGCACCTGGTCCATCACCAGGGTACTGAAGGAACCGAAGCACCTGGTCCATCACCAGGGTACTGAAGGAGCTAAAGCATCTGGCCCATCACCAGGGTACTGAAGGAACTGAAGCACCTGGTCCATCACCAGGGTACTGAAGGAACTGAAGCACCTGGTCCATCACCAGGGTACTGAAGGAACTGAAGCACCTGGTCCATCACCAGGGTACTGAAGGAACCGAAGCACCTGGTCCATCACCAGGGTACTGAAGGAGCTAAAGCATCTGGTCCATCACCAGGGTACTGAAGGAACTGAAGCACCTGGTCCATCACCAGGGTACTGAAGGAACCGAAGCACCTGGTCCATCACCAGGGTACTGAAGGAGCTAAAGCATCTGGTCCATCACCAGGGTACTGAAGGAACTGAAGCACCTGGTCCATCACCAGGGTACTGAAGGAACTGAAGCACCTGGTCCATCACCAGGGTACTGAAGGAACCGAAGCACCTGGTCCATCACCAGGGTACTGAAGGAGCTAAAGCATCTGGTCCATCACCAGGGTACTGAAGGAACCGAAGCACCTGGTCCATCACCAGGGTACTGAAGGAACTGAAGCACCTGGTCCATCATCAGGGTACTGAAGGAACTGAAGCACCTGGTCCATCATCAGGGTACTGAAGGAGCTAAAGCATCTGGCCCATCACCAGGGTACTGAAGGAACTGAAGCACCTGGTCCATCATCAGGGTACTGAAGGAGCTAAAGCATCTGGCCCATCACCAGGGTACTGAAGGAACTGAAGCACCTGGTCCATCACCAGGGTACTGAAGGAACTGAAGCACCTGGTCCATCACCAGGGTACTGAAGGAACTGAAGCACCTGGTCCATCATCAGGGTACTGAAGAAGCTGAAGCACCTGGTCCATCACCAGGGTACTGAAGGAACTGAAGCACCTGGTCCATCACCAGGGTACTGAAGGAACTGAAGCACCTGGTCCCTCCCCAGGGTACTGAAGGGCAATGAGTGAGCCGAAGCAACTAGTCCATCACCAGGTCACCGAGGGAGCTGAAGCACCTGGTCTATCACCTGGGCACCGAGAGAGCTGAAGCCAAAAGCCTGCTCATATCCAAGCCCTCTCGCTCAAAAGAGTAGAAGAAAGGAGAAACACTGCAGCAGGCCAGGCGACCCACACTAGGCAGGTCCCCGTTAAACCCAAAACCAAACCCACAAACGAAAACACCTGCTCAACCCCCGTTCTACTCCACCCATGGAATAAGCGAGGTCAGCGTCACCACTGGACGAAGTCAACATCACCACTGTATGTGTATGTATGTGTGTAATAATAAACCAGTGAGTATATTACTGAGCTCAAATAGTGAGGGAGACTCGACCCTCTGTCCGATGTACAAAAAATACTCTGGGTCATCAAGAAGAATGATAAATACAGAGCCGAATCAGAACTGCCGAATAAATCAGAGATATCACAAAAGCACATTCACGTTCTGAGGACAGTAAAGAAGTTGAATGAGATTAAAGCTATTTAATTTTAGCTGACCCCATTCATGGGTTCAGAAGTAATGACGAAGGTAACCCACATCAGTCGACTCTACTGTAAAAGAGACCAGGTTCCAGAGTTCGATCATAAGTATTTCACACACACACACACACACACACACACACACACACACACACACACACACACACACACACACACACACACACATACACACACACACACACATAAATACACACGAGCAGAAACACATGCAATTAATTAATGCCAAGTGTCTATGGAAAAGTTCCTTTGATAATTGGTAACATACACTACAAATAGGTCAAGTGCCTATCAACAAGTACTTTTGACAACCGGAGACCAATAATAAACACACATTACTAACAAATGAATAGCAAAAAGTACCGTGACAAGAATGAAGTGAGCAGGTTAATCTGGCATCGAGAAGCTTATCAATCGCTCAATCCAGCTCTCAATGGCAATATGGAATTCCTTTATCTGGCCGTCAGTACAATACGAGGGGAAGCCAGCGAGTAAGTAGTGAGAGTGTGAGGGAGCAGGCGTGTGAGTGGTGAGGTGGGGGGACCGGTGTGTGAGTTTTGAGTAGTTGTGGGAAGTAATGTATGAGTGGTGAGGAGGTGGGTGAGTTAGTACGTTAGTAATGGAAAGGTGGGTGAGTCAGACCGTGAGTTGTGAGAAAGGTGGGGGAGACAGCAGTGTGAGTTGTGAGTAATTGAGGAGACACCAGTGTGGGTGGTGAGTAGGTGGGGAGACAGCAGTGTGGGTGATGAGTAGTTGAGGAGACAGCAGTGTGGGTGGTGAGTAGGTGGGGAGACAGCAGTGTGGGTGGTGAGTAGGTGGAGAGAACACAGTGTGGGCGGTGAGTGGGTGGGGAGACAGCAGTGTGAGTGGTGAGTAGGTAGGGAGACAGCACAGTGTGGGTGGTGAGTTGGTGTTGAGACAGCAGTGAGGGTGGTAAGTAGGTGGGGAGACAGCACAGTATGGGCTGCGAGTTGGTGTTGAGACAGCAGTGTGGGTGGTAAGTAGGTGGGGAGACAGCACAGTATGGGCTGCGAGTTGGTGTTGAGACAGCAGTGAGGGTGTGGGTGGTGAGTTGGTGTTGAGACAGCAGCGAGGGTGTGGGTGGTGAGTTGGTGTTGAGAGAGCAATGTGGGTGGTAAGTAGGTGGGGAGACAGCACAGTGTGGGCGGCGAGTTGGTGTTGAGACCGCAGTGAGGGTGGTAAGTAGGTGGGGAGACAGCACAGTATGGGCTGCGAGTTGGTGTTGAGACAGCAGTGTGGGTGGTGAGCAGATTGGAATACAGCAGTGTGAGTGGTGACTTACTAGAGAAGACAACAGTCTTCTGTCATTAGGTGTTCAGCTAGGTCACAGACGGCCAGGCTCTACGTGCTGCCTGAGACGGGTGGATACCTGAGCAGGTGAGAGTTCAGCTTTGTATATTCTACTTTACCTTCGGAGGTAATAACGAATTATAGTCTTGTTGAAAAAAAGCCATACTTAACCCTTTCAAGAAAACTATCCATCATTATAAGTTAGAGTTTCGACATACTAGGGTAACTTCTTAATCAAATTTACCATTGAAAAGGAGAGGGTAGTAGACATGCTAGGAGAGACGGAAATAGACACATAGTAGGATAGATGGAAGCTATACGAATGATGAGAAGCTAGAAGAGACGTAAGTGAAAGGAAACAATAGAAGAGGCGTATGTGTGGGATGGCTAGAAGACGCATAAGAGGAAAGTTGAAGGAGAAATATGTTTAGAATTGTACGTCGGATGACAGAAAGATGCAGTATTTGCAATGCCTTGTATTATGAAGCTGAAAACATTTATTAGCGTAATCTTACATATGTTTGTCAGTGAGTATTGAAGTATTTATCTATATCTGTGCCTCCCATTAATGCCGGAGTAACTAAACTTTGTCACAGGCTTTCTCATATCTAGCAGCAGCGGGTTTAAAGCTTTACAATATCTCAAGCTTTTAATTTTAAGAGAACAGCTCCCTTCGAGGGGAAGGGAATCTTTTTTTTTAATGCGCTGTGGTGGGTGGCACATCATTTTCAAGTTAATTTTGTACTGATGGCAAAAATATATATATTCAACCGAATCCTAAACTAACCTAACCAAACGAAACCTAACCTAACCTAGGTTAGGTTAGCTTATATTAGACTAGGTTAGGGTAGGTTATAACCAAGCCTAACAAAATCTAATCAAGGGTAGGTTACGTTACGTTAGGTTATATCTTAAAATAATGTAACATAGGTTAGGTTAAGGTCAGAATGATTCGATTTGTGTTTCTCAATCACAATTAATTAATTATAATATACCAAAATGCCAAAATGAAAGTCTTTCACTGTTTTTAGAAAAGCATAAAAAGAGACAAATATTTTGCAATTCAGCAACTGGAGATAAGCCTAGTGGACATTATACATTGATCAGTTTTGAACTATAATCAAAACACGACTGATAACACATGATAAAACTGGTCTAAAGCAAAAATACTTCAGAAACAAAACTTGCCATTCTTTTACTAATTTTGGGTCACTGAATGCGGAAATAATGCTTAAAATTTCACCCTGGCTTTGTTTATATAGATATGGACTCAGGCTGGTTGCTGTTTTCTTTGACCTCGGAAAGGAGGCGGGAAATTCCATAAACCATATATTTAGTTGCATGTAACCACAATGTGTAACTGTTTAAAAAATAAATACAACTTCTTTTAGCCAATCGAGTGTTGTTATGGTCATATTAGCTTCCAGCACACCAAAAAATAGAAAGAAAGTGAGATATCTTTTTCTCCGAAGCACAACATAGCATAAAATTTGTAAACCAGTATAATGGTGCAAGATGGACTAGTAGTCAGTCGTCTAAATATTTCTCTCTACTCGTGAGTTTGTCGAGAATTCTTCCAGTCGAGGTGCTCTGGCTTTTGTTCCTTATTGATAACTGAATCAATCGCATAACGGTGAAGAGTCGCTCTTCATCGTCACAAATATCACAAATCCGGAACTGGAGCAATTCACTACTAACCCACAATTTGATGAGGAAAATGTAGGTGACGTTTCGGACCGTCTTGGCCTTTTACTGAGTAATAAATATTACATAGGAAAGCTGATGAACCTCCATTTTACTGTATTGTGAGGCACTGATTAACTAGATGTGTCTTGAATTGGTTTCTTCAGCTGCTGGTGCATATTATTCTTTATGAAACAAAAAGAAATGGCATAACAATTGGTGTTTGAAATTTCCTGTTTACTCGTATAATGAAACGCCTTCAGAGTCTAAATCTGGCACTGCAGGGAAAGGCCAAAATCGTATATAACATCATACAGATAGTTTTCAGATTCCAGAGCAAGGTCAACCTCTTTTAAAAAGAACTACTATGAAGAACTCTGGCCATTTTCCTCTTCTCGAAAGTAGGATAAATACTTTTAGTGATAATGAAGATATGAAGATAAATTACAGGGACTAATAGACGACTTTCACTTCAGGGTTGACTACTTAATAAAAGATCAAAACAGGCCTCAAATTTCTTGTAAAGCGTTTCATGGCGGATGTGATCAGAGATGGTTTTCCTGATAGGACACTTCAGGTTATGAAGCCCACCTCAATATAGAATAACTTTTGCAGATACAGAACTTCTTGACATTAACGATGATACATTCATAAAATGTTATTCGCAAGGTACCATACTTGAAGTGTGCTACTTGATTCAGTTTCTGGTACAACTCATTGCTTTGAATAAATGGCTCTGTAACGAAGTTTGTAAAATGGATTCACTAATTAACTTCCGACGAAGCTTCTTCAAATCTGCTTCTCTCTGGAATAAGTACTTCTTTTTTATAATAATAATAATAATAATAATAATAATAATAATAATAATAATAATAATAATAATAATAATAATAATAATAATAAATCTGAAATAAGCAAGTAACTACATGACCAATCCAGCTTGTTATCCGGATACTTATTGAGCGGATGGAAGCAAACATACGTGAGTGTGTAGTAAGTTTATTGCTATATACAACCAGGCTGGCAAAGCGGGGACGAGCCTAAAGTGAAGACGAACCCAGTGGACGGCTGATAGCTAGGCGAGTGGGAGGTAAATGAGAACGGGACGTCATGACAGTGTTGCGCTGGGCCAAGCAATGAGAGTAACCACCATATGTCAGGTCAGGCATAGACCAGTGGTGGGCAGTTTGAAAAGCTACAGAAGGCAGTCTTACACATCAGTCAGATTTCCGAAAACTTGCCTCTAGAAGGGAGACCCACGTCAACCTTACTTACAGTAGTGATCAGCCAGCTTACCGTAAATACAATCTTAATAAATACTACCAGGTAATTGATAATCCTTTTCAACATGTATTTACAATACTATACAATAATGATCAGCTTATATTTAGAGTATGGTATGGAATCTTTTCTTTAAAAATATTTAAAAGAAAAATAATGTGAGCTAGTTGCATCATGCGCTTCTCAGTAATCTAAAATATTTTAAGCAAAGCTCTTTGGTCATCAAGATTTGGCCGCAAAATGACAAAGTATCGTTCCTAACGATACCCAAATTTTAGCAAATGCATCTGAGATATTCACTCCCATAAAAAAAAACATATTTCTATCTCGATGAATAACTGACCTATTCTCTGGGTATGGTGTGGCAGGAGAGATGTGGGTGTGGCTGGTATTAGCCCTCTTGGTCAGCTGGGCCGAGGCGATGAGACGCTGGGAATATTTCATTGCACCTGGAGTTACATTCAACAATAGCGAGGCCTACAACAGCTCTCCCGTCAGCTCCCTATGTGAGTCGCCTCAAGGCTCACCTTCACTGCTTAGTTTTTCGTTTTCGTAATATGTCTGCTAGTAATATTTACAATAAAACGTTATTTTTAAGGTCACTAGATGTATATACTATAATACTAGATTAGCTGTTACTCTTGATTATTAATATACTTGGCGTTTAATAAGTTCCAGCTCTTGGAACTTATCTACGAGTTACAGCTCCTGGGCCTCTTTACAGTGCTGAATTATATACTTTTTGGCTTATTTAGAGCTCTTGAGGGTACCATCACAATTCTCCAGTTTTAGTGGTGTTTGATTGGGTTTAGTTTTGAGTTCTGGTTCATTGCTGCTCGAGGATATCTGTAAATGGTTCATTTCAAATTCTTAAGTTTCTTAACAGTATATTTCCAGATTCTGGAAAACTCGAGAATGTTGAGTCAGGGACAGCTCGAGGATATCCTGAGAGTGAACTTGATAAAGTCCACACATTGGACTTTATCAGTTCACAAACAGATGTACATGGGTAATGAGTACATGAGTACATACAGTGTGGAGAGTCAGGAGGAGAATGTTGCGTAGGTTGGATCTGAGTTGGACCTGCACGGGACGGGCGAGTGTGTATGTTGTTATGTAGGATAACGATAACGAAGTTTCCTAGCAAGGGATTCAGCTATGTTGTGACTTGATAAATTCCACTGTGCGGGCGAAACGTAGGCAATAAAGGATCACATTACACTTCGCTGCATTTGTGTCGATATTTTATACTTTTATCCATATCCTTAGAGTGTTGAGTTATATACAGCTCCTGGGCCTCTTGACAATATCTTAACGACGCCTCATTCGCTTGCTCTCAAATTCTTACAGTTTTTCGCAGTATTGTGTTCCAAATTGAATGCACACAATCTGCTGGACCAATTGAGTATTCAAAATAATAACAACTCGTGAACCAAGTAGATCCATCACTTCTTGCATGGATCACTTAATAAAATTAGCCTTCGACTGTGTTCCTGTACATAACCTATTTTGTAAATTTAAAAATTTTTGAAAACTTATTGTTTTCTAAAGTGGGTTTATTTTATTTTCACAACCTTGTAGTTAGTTCACTTTTATCCAGTTAGATGAATGTTATGATACATTGAACACTCATGTTTGGCATTCTTGATTTTAATTACGAGAAAAAACTAAACAAACTACAACAGTACTTGGATTGATATATATATATGGGAATTTTTCCCGGTATTTTCGGTTTTTGCTATTTTGTTTGTACTATGCTTGTAATTTGCAGATACAAATGCTGTCGGGGAATAGTTGGTACCCTTTTCCACTTAGCAAAGTAATTTTTTTATATAAATACATAATTAATTTCTACATCAGTAAATATTGCTTAGTTTTCTAAATATCTGAATCATTTTTATGTGTATT